GAAATTAAAAACCAGAGATTTGAAATGTGTTTCTAGAGAAACTATAGTTCAGTTCTGAAGTAATGGCAACTGCCATTTCTCCCTTCTTACTCATCCTTTGGTTTCTAAAAATAACTGTCCCCTGTATTTATCTTAGGTTAATAACTGTCTCTGTGGGGCTTGGTATCAGAAGTCTTCTGGCTTGGTAACTAAAATCTGAGTTGCCCTATTTCTTAAAATTAATAGAATTGATCGTATCTATTTCAACTTCAATGGAACAATATTTTTGCAGACTTCAACAGGTTGCTGAAACTTATCAAATACTAATTTTTCCTAACCTGATGGTTTTCTGCTGGTTAATTTCCATTGTGTCCATAAAGCTTCAGAAACTGATTATTAAGAACAAAAAAGAACAAAGATTATTTAAAATTAACTGTACATATATAGTACATTTTAGTCTATCATAACTGAATTACATATTTGGATGCAGTAGAAAATGTACATGCTTATTTTTGTGTTCAGCTCTAAGTATGTGAATATTTGCAGTGTCTGAAGAATGTTTATATGTTTACAGATGGTGAAATTGCCTATGTAATAAATGCATTTTTTTCAGAAACTTAAATATTTCAGCATTTCATGGAGTATGCTTCTTTGCTTAGAATCTGCTCATCTTTGCATAAATGAGGAAAAAAATAATTTAAAAACATATCTGTGTGTGTATGTATATATGTAATCTATTGGGCTGTTAAACCAGATTTTGGGAGTGTGTTTCAGCATCTTTTTTTCCTGTGTAGTACTATAAGAAGGATGTATAATCAACAGTCAAAATAAAGATCGGTAGTTCTTTGTTCAGACAGAGTACATACAGAAACTGCTGTTTAGGTACAGATGTAGTATAGCACAGTTGAAATCAACCTATAGTTGCCCTCCTTTCTAGTATGTACCTTCACCTGGCTCTGTCAGAAGAGCTGTAGCAGTGAATACGTGGCTCAAAGATCCTGTAAATATTACCCTGAAATTATCAGTTAGATACTTGTCTTAACTCTAGAGGCTTTTTATGATGTGGGCATGCTCTCATTAACTAGAGCTGATATCACAGGCCATGAGAAGAATTAGAGCTTCAGGGTGGAATTTCACTTCTGCCTAATCTGTTCCACAGCTGAACTCCTGGTCGCTTTTCTTCTATTGGACAAAACAATTGAGAATCTGCAGGGTGAATCAGTTCAGTTCTCCAGCTCACCAGCAAGAAAAGTGTACTTATTTGCTGTCATGTAGTGCGGTGGTACGCAATTTCTTGATCCAATAAAAGAGGAGGAGTGGCTGTCCCCACCTGAAGGGTAGCGGGAGCAAGATGGCTAACTGTGTGGAGTTTTATTGTTAGCTAGAGTAAGTGCAGAATGAGATTGCAGTCTCAGTTGTCAGTATTGTTAGTGGAGACTAGATAAGTGTACAGCAGATGCTGGTAGTGTGGATAGGTTGAATACATTCCTAAAAGTGCTGTCCTCTTAGTTACTGAAGTAGAAAGTCTTGGTCTTAGCTTAGATGTTGAGAAGTTAGAGGCTCTGTTTCTTCTTAACAATCTCTTGAAAAGCATTTATATAAATAGTTTTAAGAGAGGAATACAATATTTTAACTTCAGAGCTTTACTCTAAAACAGAAAGGACTATAAAACAGTACTGACAGGTAAATCTGAATTTTATAACTTTAATTTTCTGTTCTTGCAGCTTTTGTCCACCAGTTGATGAGCCTTCCATTGGCACCGAAAACCTGGATTTATCTGAGCATCATGAAAGGAAAAAAATATTCAGTGGAAAAACTTTCTTATTTCTCACTGACAAGCAGGTAATTAGGCTTTGTATTGCAAAAATATTGCAGGGGTAGCTAAGCACAGATTCTGTTCTCTCTGAATTCATGCTTATTCTGGGTTCATCAGGGAAGAAGGATTTCTTTGTATTTATCTTCTTACAATAAGATGGCCTAAGCAAGATGAAATACAGGGGGAGAAACAGAACACCTCACATCTGCATTAGTGCATCAGTGATAAGCATTATGCTTATAGTTCATTATGCTGATACTTCTAAACTGGCTGTATTTTAAGTTTTTTTTTTTTTTTTAAATTGTATTCTCTTTTTAGTACAAGAAACTGGGTCCAGCAGTTGTTCTTGGAGGAGGGGAAGCAAAATTGATGACGGAGGGAAGAAACGAAACTTCTTTACTGGTTTCTCCTGAAGTTTGTGTTGTTGATGTGGGGTTGACAAACTCTCAGATCCCAGGATCTGACTCCATGAGAAACTGGACTGGTTCTATTCTGACTGTCTTGCAAAGGTGCAGCATTGTTCTCTTGTACAGCAGTATGGTAATTTCAGAATTTCTGCAGAGAATTAGTCATGGTGTTTGCATACATATTTAAGCAGTAGCATGCTTATAAAGAGGGTATTTTATTCATTGCTTGAAGTATTTAACATAGTAACTAAAATTTCTTGAAGCAGGAAAGAAAGGACTTGGCAGTTTTGTGAGGATTTGGTGGGGCTTTTCTTTCCCCCGTGCCCTGCCCCCCTTTGGATCCGGTTCTACAAAAATTAATTGTAATGAAACTGCTTTGAAATTACAGACAGCAACTGGTTTTTCTTCTACTATTTAAAAGAAGTTAAAAATGAATATATTCTAAGAATGGCAAAATATATGACTTTTCAATAAATATACATATTTATCTAATGGAAAACAGGTAAAATAACACCTTGAAGTCATGTAGTTCATTGCCATCTAATTATTTGCATGCAATGTTTCTGAAGAGCAGCTTCTGTTTAATAAAAATCAGTTTTTGTTTTGATGGTGGTTTTTTTCTGTTTGAGGGGGGAGACTGCATATTTTTATAGATACCAGGGTTTTCATGATGCTATTTTATTAAAACAATGAAAGAAATCAAAATGCCAACCCTTAACCTAATACCTAAACCTAGTTCCTCTGAATTTTGCTGCTATATCAAGAAAACTGTACTCAAGCTCTTCTCATGGCTGTAGCATGGAAGAGGTGTGTGTGTGCCTTGTAAGAAGTGCTCAAATCTTTCAAGTCATTTTTCCATTCACACACATTTTTGAGTCAGAGGTAGAGCACAGGTGGTTAAATGCTCATAAATCAGGTAGGGAGAGATGCATTGGCTGGATTACTAGGACTAGACAGTGGCTACCGCAGCAGGAAACATGGAAGTTCATATGTATGGGACATGGGTATAATGATGGGTAATATGCTGACTTACTGTGTTGTGAAAAACTGTAGTGTAGACGGATGTTTTTTGAAAGGAGGAATGCAATATTTTGTACTTTGTCATATCTGTGCCCATTTGCCTATTCATCTTTGAATCTGTATTGAGAAACATTTTCCTTTTTTGTATATTAACAGCAAGGATCTCAGAGCTATTCCCGAGGCAGAAATTGGATTGGCAGTTATTTTCATGTCTACGGAAAAATACTGCAATCCTCAAAAGCAGCCTGGTAACAAAGGTAATTGGAAGAAGAGTAGTAACAAGTTAACAGCATTAAAGAGGCAGTATTTCTTTTTGTACAGGGGCATCAATGCCTAATGTTCCAGTTCTTTTGTTTTGTTTTGCAAGACCACTGAAATAAAATTACACTGTATGAAAAATGTATACAAGTCTGAAGAGGTAATTGTTTTTTAATGGTCTTGCAATAAACTGCAATGAAAATTATATGACTCTTAGATGTAAATAAAAAAAGCAGATCTCAAATTAGTGTAAAAAGCAGACACATAGTATATTGATCTTTAAAGGAAAGGTACTTTAAAACAATCTTCTGAAGTTCACATTTTTAGTGACCACTGAATTAGTATGTATGTGGTAGTTTGAATTCCATGCTATTCTATCTTCTATGAGAAGACTGGTGTAATGTGGTAGAAGGTGAATGTTAGAAATTGAGAGAATGAGACTGGAATTAACTTATAAAGGCTTACCTTTTTACTTTCTCCCTCCCTCCCCCCCCCAAAAAAAAAAGGAATTTGCTTTTTGGAAATTCAACTGCCCCCTGCTCAGTTCAAAATCAAACGTAATCGATGTAACAAGTAAAAACAATGAGATGTGATTGCCACATTTGCTAAAGTAATAATTTGGGGGTGGACATTCCAAGTCTCAATTTGAAACTTAACTTGTATTTGCTAATACAGTAGTAATAAAAATCTTTGTTTGTCTAATTCTCTTTTCATGCTTCTTCCAAAATTGTTGGTCTGTAGTTTGTTTCTATAAAATTTGTCAGAGTTATGTGTATAATTTTTAGGTTCTATTCTGTTCTACAAAGTGTTGCATTAAGTAGCAAATCCTACAATTTTTAAAAAATCAAACAACCCATAAATTTGTCTTTACATACAAGAACATTACCTATTCAAAAATGTGTTTTGAAGAGAGAAAGATATACATGCAGTACTGGCAGAGCTCTGAAAAATATTTTGGCTGACTTGTATTCTTGTATGAATAACTTGCATGTGATCTGTTGTCTGTTCAGTTAGTTTAGAAAACGATACAAAATAAATTGATTCTTAGATTAAATTTCAAGATACTGACCCTGCAGACATCTGGATAAATCAGAAATGCTGATTCTTTTTTTCAGTCTGAATGATTCAATTGGATAAAAATTAAATTGTCTGATTGAATTGTGTAAAAGGACTGTATATCAGGCTCTTAAAGGTGGCTATGTTTAGAGTTTATTTGCTAAGAGGGAACAAATGCTATTGTTTGGGAGTTACAAAAAACTTCCATGTATGTGTTGCAGATCAAAGGGATTGTAAATGACTTCTTCCTCTGATCGTGTCTCAGAACAATGAATAGCAACATATATAATGTGAAGTTGCTCAAGGAGGAGACCTAGGTGTCCCTATAGGTTATTCCTCTATAGATTACAACGGTAGGAAAAAATGGATGTATAAAGAAGGGGTGCTCTGAAAGGATAGTACTGTCGTCATAATCTCAATCTGAATGAGGTGCAGGAGGAATGTAAAGGACTGAGAGATGAGCAGTAAAAAGACCCCAGTGTTAGCTAGAAACATGATGAGACATATATGGAAATAGTAAATGTTAGTATCCTTTGACTTGGAGAAGACATAAGTATATGAAGACAAGGACAAGTGAAAGGGCAGACAATATAAAAGATGTTGTATATGCTCTTCTTTCTGTTTTACAGAGAAATAATGTGAGTAACTAGAGAGCAGCAAACGATGTTTTAAGGCAATCCCCTGACTATGGGGATTGTGAGAAATTGGCTGTAGAAGACATTTATTCTAAGGTTTTTGGATAGCAAATATTGGTTCTGTATTAATAGAAATAATCCCAAATATAATAATCACATGGTAGAGATTATCATAAAACAGTAAATGTAAGGAATTTTGTGCTCTGATCGTTTTTCATAAAATACATATTGCATGATTTATTAATTACATTATGTCCTTATTCATATGTGATTTCACATTGTGCTTCATTTTTATTTAAGCAAAATTCCATGACTTAATTTAGTGGAATATTGAACTAAAACTGAAATATGGTCTTTTATAACTGTTTCTTTCAGGTTTTTTGAATCAATAAATCCGCTTAATTTTTTTTATTAAAATTGCATTAAGACCATTTTACAGAAATCTCACCTGATCAGTTACCAATGTGTGATGACACATGCAAAGAAACACAGATTTGATATTAACCTTTTAATTCTTCTCTTGTGTTCATCTTGCAGCTTTAACTAAAAGTACTCCTGCATCAGCTGTTGCAGGGCGAGCCATTTCTCAGAGTTTGGCAGTGGATGAAACCGTAATGCCAACTGCTGCAGATAACAGCGCAGTATATATAGCTGATACAGAAATAGAAGAGCAGACATGGTAAAATATTAATGGAAATCGTTTCTAAGCTAATACTTGCAAATAAAGCAGTCTTTTGTGGCAGAGGAACTGTATCATTACCATGGACAAAGATACACAGTGTTTGAAATGGCACTTACTAAATTGCTGTCACTTGTCTGCAGTGAGATGATTTCTGCTTTTGAGTGGTAGATAACAGAAAACATCACATAGGATTTTGCACTCTTTCAGATACAGATGTAGATACTGTATATCTGACTTGACTGTCTTAACTATTAAAAATTTTCAAGCCATTTCACAGTTATAAAAATATGTTTGTCACAGCGGATTTTATAGTTTGTTTTTAGCACACCTACATTGTTCATAAGTATGTTCAAAGTACAAGTACAGCTTTTTTAAAAAGTGGTATTCTACAGTGTGTCTCTGTGGTAACTTCTTGTGTGTTCACTTAATATTTTTTTTCTCTCTAATATAGTATGGAGATAGAGAATACTCCCCAGATGGACAGAAGAGAGAAAATAGCTTTCCAGGATATAACCACTGTAAAGAAAAACCCTAGCACAAGTGGCAACGTAAATGCAGGAACATCGATACCTAGAGTGAACAGAATATCTGGGTTTAGTCAAAAAAGCCATTCTGTCTTGCCATCTAAAATTTTAGAAGCTGGTAAACCTAGAGAGTGTGCTTCACGTCACCAGTCTAATTCAATTACAAATTACTTCCAGGTAGCTGGAAAAAGGTATGTTGAAATGTTCTTGACATCACTTCCCTTACTGTTATGTTGGTGCTGTTTCTGGAAAATAATTTTAACTCAAGGGATGTACATTTAATTCAAAACATACTTAAAAAGGTAATTTTTGGATCAGCATCCTAGAATGGCAAGCTTTTCCTCAAAGGTACTTAATGGTCAAATTTTACAATGCTGTCACTAAAACCCCAGGAAGCTGTTATGTTGCAGATGCAGCTAGTCATAATAAAAAAATGCTTTTGTGATTTATTTCTTTTGTAATTACTTTCTCGCTAAGGGAAAGAGCTGAAGAAGAAGAAGAAACATCTGTACCCAAACTAGCAAAACTGGAGGAAAGGTCGTCACCGGTTTCCAAGTGCACCAAACCCACAGCTTCATCAGTGTGGAACAATGAAGCAGAACAGCATCAAAAGGAAAGTAACATCCTGGACCCAAAACCAAGTTTTGCATTAGAAGACACAGTTGCATTAGAAGGCACAGGTATAAAGCTTATGGGGGAAGGTGGCAAACTAGCAAGTGAGAAAACAGACACTAAAATTACTTCTAATGAAAAGCATGCACCAAAGAAGAGAAAGGAGTTAGATGATTCAGCTGAAGATACAGAGGCTCTAGAAATTGTGTTTGGAAGCAGAGACCTAGACTGGGAAGGTCAAATGGCAGATCATGGCCAGGAAGCTCAAGAAAATATAAAAAAAAAAAGATGTTTGGAAACCAGAGGAAGCTGGATTCAAGAAATAAATGTAAAACAGGGAGAGGAGAATAAAATACTGGTAAGTTTTATTCTTTTCATGTGCCTACTCTTGAAATTTACGACTGTGTTAGAAGGATGCAGATAGCTCCTTTAAGGATGAGGCTGCCTGCATACAGAAAGTGGCTTTGTAAAATTTGTTTGCTTAAACCTCTCAAATCACTCTAACCTAAAAACTGAAATTATGTATCTATTATATGTGAACATTGCAGTGTTACACCTATCTAAATGTTTTTTCATTTTTGAGGACATTGTTTCTTTCTGAATTGAAAGCTGCTTGTATTCGTTGTTTTCCTCTCTTTTTGCTTGAAGTACTGTAGGTAGAACAGCAGAATATATCCCTGTTCCCAGAAAAAACTTCTCATACTGTGTGGTGTTGTGTTAAGTGTAATGTTGATGTTTATACTAAAATAATACTTAATTATATTATCTTTATGTAATAAATTTTCTGAAGAAACCTTTAGTTGACCTCTTCTGTTGAATACCACAGTAGTGCCCAACGTCTTTCAAGTCAGAATCTCTAGATGTCACATGAAATTTATTTTATTAAAATTCCTGTATGAGGCAATTCAAGTCACTAATGTCCTCTTAAAAAAACCCAACCAAACAAACAAACAAAAAAATACCCACAGCTTGTGATTAGTTTTTCTGATTATTTCTCTGGTTTTGTTGTTAACAATAAGGCAGTTTTCTAAGAGAAATAAAGAAAACAATGGATTTTAAGTTAACAGTAGTCACTTCATTGAAAAAAACACAAAAGCAGGTTTGTAGAGGAAAACAATGTTGAGAGCTCTAGCAAAGCAGACTATTAACAATGCAGAGAGGAATAAGAGAGAAGGAACAGAGGTTTAATTTTTGTTTCTTTAAAAAAATATATATATTAAAGCTTACTGTCCAGTCAATTCTTACACAGTGTAGGCAGTGTTCAAATGCTGTAATAATAAAGTTTGAATGTATCATTGAGTAACTGGAATTTCCAAGTTACCTTGGATCAGATGAGAATTAGTAATTGTCTGTGCATCCTTAGCTCAGACTAGCTTAACACTCTTCTCTTGATACTTTACCGGAGCTTGCTTCGGGCAAAGTGTGAATTTTGAACTTTGTTATAATGCTTTATTTTTGTGTTAGTAACAGGCAAGTTTGAAAAGACAAGGAAGTCTTACAATTGTAGAGAATCTATGGTTTTTGCTGTTTATACTGTCAGAGAGGAGGTATTTTCTATCGGGTCTAACAGTACCGAGAGACTAAAATGGCTACTTGGAATAGTCTTTCAAATTTTGTTATGGCCTGGGAAGTTTTGCTAGTCTAACTTCTTGTCAGGATCATGAAGGAAAACAAATTCTTACATAAAACTAAGCTGTTATTTTATCAGATGAGCACTTTTTGCTGACAAAAAGTCTTTTAATAGTTTAATTAATAGTGACCTATTTTATTTATGTAAATTATATTTCCAGTGGAATAGGAAGGAGATTTCATGATAAAGTTCCACAGGCATATTTATGTTACCCATTTTCTTTAAGTATAGATGCACCTTGTGTATCTGGCAAGACAGACAATGTCAGTAATTGACTCAAAATCTACAGAGTGCATAAAGCTGATCTGATTTTTTTTTCAACCACTGAAAATAACTTACGAAAGACAAATCCAGTTTTAAACTATGGGAGGAAAGCAAACCACAGAATACTTTTCTATCCTAGTAATGAAATTTTCGTTCTGCACACATGGGCACTTAACATATGAAATTGAAAATGCTACTTTTTAAATATAAAAGCTTTTACAGTATTTTCCAGAACCTGGCAGGACTGTAAAGATTGTATGCATGGACAACACTTGCTATTGGTATAAGGAAAAAAAGTGAGAAAATAATGGTCATTTTTTTTTTAATAGGAGAAAAAAACCGAAATTGTTATAATGTACATAAAATCATATAAATTTAACAGTACAGTGCGATTTCTTTTCTGTCTAAATATTTATATTGATTTGAAAACGCTTATTCCACTGTAAAGAGCAGAAAAAAATTTATGTAATTAAATTTGCATTTAATTTCAGTGTTACATTTTAAATAATTTTTAATCAAATAGAAAGAAGAGGAACTTGGATCAGTTCTAACTTCAGAAATGAAAAGTGAGATCAGGCAAGAGTCCCCAGTCTTGGTAAGAAACCAGTTAATTGTAAGTTTGAACAGGAAACTTTGAAATAGGATCCATAAATACTATGTTCTTAAAAGCAAAATTTTGATGCATTTTCTTAATGCTTCTCAGAGTAAAGGAAGTTCTGAAGATTGTACTCCTTAAAATAATCATGTGTAAATTTGAATAGTACAGTCCAATTATTGACCGTGAAAAGACAGAGAACTGTAGTTCATCTGCATGCTTTTGTAATGGCATTTGGATGGCTACTTAAGATACTTAAACTACAGAAACCTAATGTACAGAAACCTAATGTAATTGTATTAACCCTTCAGTGCGGTTAATACTTGTACTGATATTTTTGTTAGGTTACTGCTTAAAGACCAGACAAGAATGTAATCTCCTTGTCTGCTGTAAGGAGATCACAGCTAGAATGGAGGAGATGGACCATTGAGAAAATAGATGTGACATACACTGATTAACAGTAAATAGTGTGCTAACTTTGTTATAGGTGAGAGAATGAAGGAAGGAGGGGAGAGTTGCTGGGAATGGCAGTGAGGCAGAGAAAAAGGACACAAGGCCAAATGAAAATGACATGGAATGAATCTGAAGAGATAAAGGAGACTGTAGCCAGTCAACAAGGGGCAGGTTAAAACCTTTTCACATACATACAGAAAACAGTCCAAGAAGAGGGAATGCTGTGCAGGTATACTGAAGTGCAGGGTCAGCTCAGATTAAGGGACTTCTAGTTTATACTTTTCTGTAAAACAACTGTACTACATCTGGGCTGGAGCTGTCCATGAAGATAGTTTAACATTACTTGTGAACTTGTCCTGCACCCCGACTTCCTTTTTAACCCACATAGGTCTAGCCCCAAGGACCAAAGTTTGCATGCAAACTTGCTGATGTATGAGCATTCTTGTGTACAACAAAAAGTTGCTTCATGGATCAGATCCAGCTAACAGCCCTAAAGTTGGCCTAAATGGTAAATCTGTAGGCTAGAATTGAGCTGAAGGTGTTCAACTTCGTCTTCCTTGGAGTTAGCTGGAGTTTTCATTAGCATAAGCATATTTGGTTAAATTTGTTCAGGTGAGAAGCAAGGTGGAGGGGAGGAGAGGAGTCATTCTTAGATAATAGCTGAATTGCAAAAAAATACCTTTTTTTTTTTTTTTACTTGGAGTTTTATCTTGAAGTAAAATCCTAGTGAAATGAGGTACACTGACTTCATTATTAGTGCAGTTCTTAATGATCCTGTCTTTTCAACAGATGTAAATATGAGAGAAATAAATTTACTGAGCTCCCGGCTGTATTGGTAGTATATAAGGAGGCCGAGAAGTATATCTGTCTTCTTGGCTTCTAGCACTGCTGCTGCTTCCCCTTGCCCTTTTGTAATCGTAACTTTTGCCTCAGCTGTGCTCATTATAATTTCTTTCTCTAAAGTTTGTACTGTTAGATATGCTGTATGTCTGTTTATACGCTTGAAGTGCTCCTTCCTTTTTCTTCCCACGTAAGAACCACAACAAACTTCAAGATGACTCCAGCAATCTTCCTAGCAGACTTCTGTTGACTGAGTTTAGATCGTTGGTTGTTAGCCATCCAAGACAGAACAGTCAGCTTACTGGAAATACCAGCTACGGGGGAAAGAAGAATTTCAAAATGTTCAGAAAGGTTGGTGTGTATTTGAAATGGTCACAAGATGGCACTGTTTAAAAATACTAAAAGGTATTGCCTTAAGATTGTAGAAATATGTTATGAAAGATTTTTTTTAAATTGATAGTAACTACAGAAAGAAGCAATTTAAGTACCATATTATACTGTTAACAAATATTTTTCTAATTGACTAAATAACTACCAGGCTGCCAAAGCCTTACCTCATGCTAGATTATTTAGATACTGGTACTCTCTATTCCAAGCTGTTACTGGGAATAAGTTGTTAAGTGATGCCTACCATAACTTCCGGTTGTACCTCCAAAAGCTAGCAATTTGACTTCTCCAAAGACCTACATATAAAGCATATGCTGATTCAGCATCTTGCATTTTATCTAATAAATCTTTGGTTTCTAAATAGAACTAAATCTAGTGTCTCACAAAAGTAAGATGATTGCTTGCTTGGGTTCTGGAGATAATTTCAAGAAGATTCTTAGTGTTAATGTAAAAATACCACTTCAGCTCATATACCATATATATTTATGTATTTTTAATAAGATTACTAGAAATGCATTTCAGGAAAATATTATGTAGACAACGTGAGTCACATAATACAACTTCCAGCTTTCTGGGAGTATGCTCTCATTTTTAGATAACACTCATTTTTAGGTAACATTTCTGATAGTATTTTCTTTTCCACTGTTTTGTAATAGATTCTTATGCATTCTGATGATAAAATAGAATCTATCAGTAAAAGTCAGTTTATAATGTTTTCAAACTCCATTTAATGTAGTCAGATTTATTTAGCATATGTGACTTGTCAGCTTTTTTTGTTTGTTTCCTTTGGTAAAAGGAGGGAGTTAATAGCTTGCTTTTAAATATGATCCCCGATAAATGTTATTCAAAGAAAGACTGGCTGACCTTCTTCTGTGATATCTAAATAGACTTTCTGAGTTTGTTAAAAGACTTTTTACTTGCAGTGTGCTTGCCTTGTATTGTAACTGTAAGAATTTATTGTCCAACAGGTAGCGTATCCAGGGGCAGGACAACCTCCTTACATTATTGGAGGGTCAGATTTGATTGCTCACCATGCTAAAAAGAATTCAGAGCTAGAAGACTGGTTAAAGCAAGAAATAGAGGTAAGGAATTCTTTCTGAAAGATAACCAAACAAAAACTTGTCTTATGTAAGTGGTCATAGGAACCTGTGGTTGTTTCTGAAATACTTTAGAATTTTATTTTTTAAATAAAACCTCAGCCAGTTAGCTGTCCACACATGCTCATAGGAACATAAGCATTAGGAAAGTTACTGGAATTCTAAAGTCAGTGGTAGGGCTCATTTTTTGCTGATTATTTGAATTCATTTTACATGTAACATTCATATAAAAAAAAAAAAAGAAAAACCGATTTAAACAAAATCAATAACCTGAAAGAGTATGATCTTTTTTTTTTAATAAGCAAAAGAAGCATTACAGACACTTGTGACTTCTAAAAATGTGACAGAGAACTAGGAAGAACTTTTATATGGTAATCTGTGTTCAAATTTTTATACAGTACAATTGATATTCTACTCTTGAACAGAAAATACCTGAGTAAAATTCTGTTGCAGTAGGCTGAAGAGATACAGTAAGAATAAATTCAATATTTTTCTATTATAAAAATCTTCCCCTTAGTATGTAAAAGTTCTAAAAAATACTATATTTTATCATAGCCGTTCTCTAGTACTTTTGTTTTCCAGTATTTCATTTTCCAGTAGTTTCTTTAAAAGTACTTGCTGATGAGCCATATTCTGTTTCCACAGCCTGATCGAGATCCTGTTACATCAATGTTTTTTTATTAACTTTTTTTTTTGTCCCTGGGTATAGATAATGCAAATTAAAATTCCTGTTACACACCAATAATCAGATAAAAATGTCCCTATTCTGTAATGATGCTTAAAAACCAAAAAACACATTTCTGACCAAAATTCATACCTTGCACAAACTAATCTGTTCCGTTAGTTGGTAGCAGTAGCCAAACTTGAGTAGTGCATTGTATTATCTAATATAATGTGCGCTGAAGGGAGTACTTAGAGAAAACTTATTTCTTCAGGAAAAGCTGTGTTAGAGCAGGGATATATTGTTCTTCTGTGTTGTTCATTAGCTTCACCCTTCACATCAAATACTGAATAAACTTATTTTCTCAGGAACAGAACCGACAGGCAAGAGAAGACTCACTTGCTGATGATCTCTTTAGGTAAGGGTTTTGTGTTTGTGTGTGTATAACTTGCATCACATCTTCTTTTGGACAAATTCCAGTTTTGTAAAAGACTTCTTTGACTATTCTTTTGAACATTCTGTGTATTCCCATGTATGGAATATACCCCAAATAACTCATCAACTTCTCTCTATTTTTTTTATGTCTTAAACTTGCAATTTAATTCAGACTTGCTACAATTTTTTAATAAGAGCATTCTCAAAACAAAAATGTTGCAATTTCCTGTCTCATATGCACAAGCTTGATTGTTCACAAAGGCTGGAAGAGATTCCTGGGTCAGGTTTTCTGCCATTAGTGGTTGCTAGAACCTAGTGAAGTGTTTTGATCTTACAATTGAGTCAGTCATCCAAACTTCCAAGAAAAAGTGATGGGGTCTGCCACTTTTTCATTCTGGCCATGGCACTTGTCTGTTCCTGTGCTGAGTCACTTGAGGGAGCTAAAGCAACAGAATACTAATTCTGTGAAAAAGTGATTGGCAGGATGGCTTGCTTGCTTTTTTTTAATCTTTGGAGTAATAATTCCCAGAATTTAAAACAAATATTAAAAAAACCAAAAGTAGTAAATCCTTCAGTGTGGCCCCTCTTTGTCCCTTATCTTTGAGAACTTAAGCTGCTTTCAAACCATTCACAATGAAAGAGTTCCTACCTTTTTTCACTTATTAGAATCTACCTGAATGCCTTACCATCTTTCCAGTTTTAAGACTGAGGAGGCATTTTTACACCAATCATTCTATGCTCCTGTAGCAGACAGTGTAGCAGAGTCATTAATTCTGCCTTAATCAGTGCTTATGTCACAGGAGTTTGAGAGATTTATTTGGTAGGTCCATGTTCACCTTGGCTGTTTGCCATTGGTTTTTGCCATAACTCATTACATTTGCCTCTAAAATACAGTCTGTTTCAGCGGTTTTCTTCAATAACCCTCATTTCAGTTGTCTAACACTTTCCCTAATCTCTCTTTTGAAAGAGAGAATCATCCCATTCAGTTGATTTCCTGTCCAGTTAGTTTCAACTGTAATCCTAATTTAAGTATAGCCTTTAAATATATGTCAATTATGAAGACATTTATAAAAACATGGTGCAGCTTGATTGCTGTGCTGGAATATTAACTGGTCCAAAATAATTTTGATTAATTTTAGCCTTTACAGCAGTGGAAACTTAGATAATTTGCATGCATTCATGCTTAGAAAAGTTTTTACCTCATCTCCAATTTATTTAGGATAGTTGTACTTTATGGAAGTTGCCACAGAAATATTAAAACATGCAATTTAATGTTCAGCAGTTTGTAACCTACTTCTAATTTTGTCCTTAATCCTGAATAAAACTACTTGGCATAATGCTAATGTTAACAGCTGCAATTTCCCATGAAAATTGCATTTGAAGATGCCATTAGAAAAAGTCATGCAGTACTCCAGGGTGAAGATGAGCTAGAAAGAAAAGCTGTACCCTCAACTGCTGCTGAGTGCGTATTGAGATAGAGGAGGAAGGGAAGGCATATCATACTATCTGTAAGACTACAGATATACAGATTATGTTCAGTAATAGGCCTTTGTATCCTTTACTCCCTGTTCCCAGCAAGATCCTTTGTTTCTTTGTGCATTCACTCACAGTAGTAGAATCTCTGTCGTCCTTTTTCCATTTCAGGCCACAGGCACTGTACAGTTTCCTTTCTGATAATATTGCTTGATTTCTTTCTGTCTGGAAAACATCATCCAGGCTTTGTTAACCTGGAAAATGGCTGGAGGTGAGGTGGGGGAGATTACATAAAAAGATGTTCATGACGGTCAATGTCAGCATCTCCATAGGCCAGTCACAGAGAGGGTTGAAGCTGTTGGTGTCCTGATGGCAGGTGTCTTTCCTCACACTCCTTCCTGCCCCCACCCCCCCAAAATAGGATTTGGTGTTCAGGACATATTTAAAAGGTAGAACTGATGTGTTACAATGTTATAGCAATAAATTCAAAGAAATGCTTTGGGATTTAATATAAGGATCTCATTTTGTTTAGCAGAGGTTTCATTCTTTTCTTAGTTTTTATGTGAAGAAACAAGCAACCACTGTTTGACTTCTCACCTGCCATGCATTTGACTAACACTAAAAATTGTGCATTTAGGTAGAAAAATGTGTATGGCGAAGACAGACATTTTTGTCCAAATCACTATCAAAGAAACATAATACCGCATATCAATGTGTAAGAGCCATTCAGAAAATATTACTGCATTAACAGCTCGCACTGTTAATTAACAGTTAATAATAGAGCATTTCTTTCAAAGGGTACACATTTCATTTTTGCCAGAATTCTGAGTTGTATAGCAACAACAGTGACTTCTAATACCTTTCTAGTTATGTGGTGATGTAATTTGGCTCACAAGTTGTCACATTTTCCTGTCTAAGCAAAAAAAAGTGTTGATGAATGAGAACAGACTTAGTGGAAGTAAAACTGCCTGGTCATTCAATTGTGTCCTTAAGTTATTCATGCATGAATACAAAACACATCAAAATTTCAAAGAAGCGACACAGGATTTGGGGAGATAA